ATATATATATATATAATATATACACATATATATATATATATATACATATACACATATACATATACATATACACACACACACACACACACAACATATTTTGTAGGCTAAAACAAACATCACAATGTTAAATTGGTACTCATTGGGTCTCACTGCTGCATCTAAACAATCAGCATCATACATAGGAGTCCACAGGTGGAACGGTTAGGTGCAAATGGCCTGCTGAGACCGTATACTGTTTTGCTAAATATTTTGCGAATATAAAAAAAGTGTTAATTTTACAAATTAAAAATGCTTAGGTGCTTTATTAGATTAATTTACAATGATGTTCAAATTGTTGGTCGAGTGATCTATTAGTCAATCAACAGAAAACAGATGTGTGACAGATTATTTTAATTGCCATTTTTAAGCAAAGATTATTTGGTTCTTACTACTTTGTTGCTGCTTTTCTCTCATTTATGTATTTCATTAATAAATGAATATGTTTGGACAAAACAAGTTATCTAAAAGCATCACCGTGGGCTTTAGGCAACCAGCTCTCCAAATGTACATTTCCAAGGCTTCCACATTGAGCAAGCGAAAACACCCAGGTGACAAGGACAGCGGAATAAAACAAGGACAGTACAGGACAGTGAGTCTCACCACAAGTGTCTGGTAACAAGTGCTTCAGGTAAGAAAAATAATTCCCTGGTAACTAAATTACTAACAAAACAACATATAAAATTGTGGCTGCCCTAGGGCCGTTAGGTAACCAGCAATGCTTTACATTTTGAAAGATTTCACAATGCAAATCTTTTGTTTTAATGAATAAAACAGGATGGCCTGACAAACGTAATTTGAAAATGTCTGAATTCATTTTACTTTCCGCTATCACCCTGTTAATTTAATTAAAGTCCGATAACATCTTTTTCAATTAACTGAGACAAGTTACCCACAAAATGCTGATTTGTTAAACACTGCAGAGGCAATCCACAACTGAAAAGAGAGGCCAACGCAGAAAGGAAATGCTTCATGGAGGTCAGGGAAAAGCAAAAATTAAAGAACCCAAGACCAACCCCATACCAAGACAGCATCCATAGACATCAGATTTTGAAAATGTCATTCTTTGGATCAATCATTAACAACCCTTAAAAATACTAAGCAAACAGACTACTATACATGGCTCTCAACAACAAATGGAACATGCTGCACCATCTTAATAACTGGTATTAAAAGGGGAAACCTTTACAAATATAGCTTTTTAAAGTCACGATCTCCACTAGAATAACATAAGTGGATAGACCACATGTGGTTATATGGACTTAGTGAGGAGGGTTTTTTTGTTTTGATTTTTTTAAGTGTTTTCTGTCTTCCTTACCATTTCAGCACTACATCCCTGGCAGTATTATAAGCAGTTCTTGACTGAAAAGGCACTTAGCTTACTAACTTCAACAATTAAAACTGATATGAACAACAGCCACAGAAAATGCTTATAAAATATCAAAATTCAGCTCTAAAATGACCATACCATTTGTGTCACTACTTGTGCATTTTATTTCTTATCCATCTCTTTTTATTTTTCTGGCTTGGAGATGAAAGTGTTGGGGTTTTTTTCAAATTGCATTGTAAAAACTTAATTGAAATTATGTGTCTCAAATATGCTAAATAAATTCACAGTTACTTCTTTGAGCTCCAAAATTCAGTATTATTGCCCATTAACACTAAAAATAGTACACAATCCAAAAATTAGCGATACAGAGAAAAGATATTAAACAACCATTACATTAATGAGACCATAAAACGTTTTCAGAGCTTTAACTGACAACCGACTGAATCTGGATGTGACAATAAAAAGTCCTTCATTATTTTTGTACTCTACACTTAGGAAGGTCAAAAACAACAGCATCTCAAAAGCACATTAACACATTGCATTAACATGTCTTTTGTTCCATTTCTTTCTTTAGTTTTATAATGCTCTGCTTCAAAACAGAGCCACCGCACATAAAGTGGCCTTTAATAGCAAATCTGCTTTCTATAAATTACAGTAAATATTGTGGTATTGCAGTGCCACCTATTGAGACAGACTAAATAAATCAATGCTGTTCACTGTGAAACATATTTACAATTCTTTTCAGTTATTTGTTATAATAGTTATGCGTTATCAATATGGTTAGACAGACCAATCTGATGAGATCCCTCTCCCACAAACATGTAAAGACTATGCTGTACCATCACAGCCCATATATGCATCTTTGGGAACAAGTAACAATTTGGGTGAGTACTGAATCTGAAAAGGCAGATCTGACTTGAACATGTCAGGAAAGTCACTTGGAGCCATTTCAAAGCAGCTACAGATCCCAAGATCTACTGTGCAAACAACTGTTTTTAAGTTTAAAGTGCATGGCACAGTTGTGCCACTGCCACAATCAGTGAAAACACCAATCTATCAACTCCTGCTGAGAGAAAATTGGTTAGGAAGAAAAAACCACCAAAAAGCTAGTCTGCAATGAATTAGAAGTTGCTGGAAACACAGGTGTCAGTGTCCACAGTTAAGCGTGTTTTACATCGACATGGGCTGAGAGGCTGCCATGCAAGAAGGAAACCCTTGTTCATTAAGGCTCGACTGAAGTTGGCTGCTTATCACGTGGACAAAGAAAATGCCTTCTGGAGGAAGTTCTGTGGTCAGACGAAACAGAAATTATGCTATTTGGCTCGAAATATGTTTGGAGGAGAGAAGGCGAGTCCTTAAACCCCAATGTAACCATACTTACCGTCAAGCATGGTGGTGGCAGTGTTATGCTCTGGACAGTTATGCTGCCAGTGGAACTGGTGCTTTACAGAAAGTTATTGTAATAATGAAGAAAGAGGTTCCAAATTCTTCAGGAAAAACCTAAAATTATCAGCCAGAAGGTTGGGTCTTGGATGCAGCTGGGTGTTCCAACAAGACAATGAAAAGTGGTAAAAGAATGGCTAAATCAGGCTAGAATTGAGGTTTTAGAATGACTTAAACCCCATATGTGGACGGTGCTGAAGAAACAAGTCTGTTTCAGAAAACCAACAAATTAAGTGGAACTGCCCCAACTATCAAGAAGAGTGGTCGAAGATTAAACCAGAAGCTTGTGGATGGCTACCAAAAGAGTGTACTTGAGATGAAAACTGCCAAGGGACATTTAACCAAATATTAACATCGCTGTATGTATATTTTTGACCCAGTACATTTGGTCCCATTTTCAGAGGACCCATAATATATTCATAAAAGAACAAAAATTCATGACTGTTTTAGTAACAAACCCGTATGTGCTCCAGTCAGTCCATCACGTAACAGTTTTAGAAATTATTGGAAACTGCCATGACATGTAGGATCTTTACAAGGGTATGTAAACTTTTGACCACACACCACTGTATGGGATGTTAAATATAAATAAGGATGGTCTTTCGCACCCCATGTAAATGGCCTCCATCCGTACCAAAGACCATCCTTCATACAGCCTGTTATTAAGTTCCATACTTCACGTAGGTAGGTCACGAGATAACAACTCCCCCCACTGATCAAACAGAAAACTGCAGTTGAAAGCTCCAGAAAAAGCTAGCAGACCTTGAGATAAAATTTGTTATAATAATATTTCCAAGGTCAAGAATAACCTTTCAAGCTCAAGGTCATTTTAATCTGCTCTTTTGTTATTGGACTGTTAAAACAGGACCTGGTTAGGTAAAACACTAATCCAGTCAGTCAATGAGACACAATAAGACACAGTGATCGCCCACCTCTTTGGTCAGAGAAAGATAACAACTAAAGTCCATCATAAGTTATAGCCCAAAGGCATTCCTTCATTTTGATTAATTTGTCTGTCCAACAGTTAAAAAGTTCCAAATTGTAATACACTGTATATACAGTGTGCATATGTCTGTGTGACCCACTGTCAGACAGACATAGTGCAATGATGCAGGTTAAACCTACATTTGTAATCAATCTGAATAATTTAGCACATCAGAAAACGTGACTTTGCAACCCCATTTTCAACCAGCACTGAACACTCATCTTAGCAGGTGGAATGGTGTTTGCCAACAGCTCATCAGTGGGAGTGGATAATAACAGTCTGGAATGAAAACCATTCCTGCACAGACCTTTGCTACAATTGTAGACTAGAGTCTCTGAATGGTGGTTACACGGAATTAACTTGCAGTAGCAGTCTCATAAGGATGGGGTCAAACACGGGTTGCTCGTGCATTAAGTAGATCTGTGTCATACACAAGTCTCCTGTCTAAAAGGGGGGGGGTATGTGTGTGTTGTCAACAGAAGCCTGACTGCTTTAAAAATAAGACCCCTCGAGAAGCATAATAAGGGCAATGTTTTGTCCCAAAAAAACAAAAAACTCCCCATATCTCCCAGAATAATACAGCAGACTGAATGTTGGTTGGTTTGTAGTAGTAGGAAGCACATGGATTAGTGTAAGGGCTAAATCCTGTGCTAATTTTAACCTTTTGATTTCCTATATGCAAAGCAAAGTCAAAACAGTCAAGGTCACTTTTCACAAAGAAAACTCTAATATGCAAATATTGCATTGCGTATTAGCTTTCCTAACTATGAGAGTCATTTTCTCAGCAATATACATCACATAATATGGCAAGTAAATACATTACACAGGCATAACACACCTCCACCACTGTTCATTTGCTCTCCTGCGTTTCTCTAGACAAGCTGAATAGACTCTTTTGAATATAGTATAACTAATATAAATATAGTACATTAATCCAAGGCCGTCTTCACAAACAGCCTATAGTCATGCATATTTTCACTATCATATGAAAAACAAACATATATAATATGATAAATGTTTTTGCAGCCACTTTCTTTTTTCTTGAGGGTTTTGCACTTCGTGTGGATGCGTGTGTCTCTCTGTGTGTGTCTGTATCAGTGTGTGAGTGTCTCTGTCTATCTGTCTGTGTCTGTCAGTGTGATGTCCACGGGTGGTATCAGAGACCTCACTCATTTGGAAAAACATTCATTAGTGTGCCATACTTACAAACTTTGGTTTGCGGTCTCCTTCATCGTAACATGATGTGCTGTTTTGGGAAGAACCCTTCTTCTTTTGAAGTTTACTGTCGCGTCCGGCAGTAGATTCAAACCGCTGACTGTAACTATCCATGTTGTTAACCTAATGACTTTTACACGAGCGGATAGCTACTAAAGACGTTGACCTTGTAGTGTTAGAACACACCGTCGCTAAAATGGAGGAGACATTCGGAATTGTCTAGTACATTACCATTCGCGTATTGAATTAGCCGGACAGCTAACGACCGCAAACTTCACTCCCAGTCCGTTTAGCTAACGTTAGCTAGCAAGTTTGCTAAACTATCATTCACCGGTACTTAGCGCTAATCCAATTTATGGACTGTCACGTAACGCTTGAATTTCCGTAAACAAAATGAATGCAGCATACAAGTTAACGTTTTTTCTCCATTGACAAACTTTATCCGGCTATTAACTGAAAGCTATACCAAACAGCAGCAGCTGAAGCGTTGGCGAGATAAATTTATGGTGAACATATTTTTTGACAGACCCGCGCAATGAGTATGTCAGCTCCGCGTGTTTAATCCAACCAATAGTATCCACGGAGCCACAAAGGTTGGATTGTCATTGGTACAGCCCCCTCTGTTTACAGTTGAAAAGGCATTTGATTGGCCACAGTTGGCTGTCAATCAGCCCTAGTCCTGTTGGGATTGTTCGTTTTATTCAGCAGCGGCCTGGGTCTACCTTGGGTGCAGTGGTGGTTACAGTTTGTCTACAGTCATTCATGTCATGCCTGATAGAATTTATACAAGTTTAAGTTTTAACAGGGTTATAACTTAACAATGTAGATGAACCCATAAGGCACATTTTAATGAATACAAATCATAGCTGATCAACCATGCAAGCTGCCAAATACAAATGCATCATTTTCTCCAACGTACAGTAATAGTAATCGTTATTGAAGAATCTCCTGTAGATAGTGTTAAAATTATTTTAAAAATCGGTGGCGGAAGCTTTATGTTTCCCTGAGAGGTTCAATCTATTTTATTAGAGTCAAAATAGGCCTACTATTTTGCACAGTATTACTCAGGTGTCAGATAAACAGATAATTGTCTGTATATTTTAGAAAGAGTTTTGCCCTTCTGGCCATCGTACCATGTCACATTTCAATAATCCCACCCTTATGCCTCATGTAGGCTTTCATGTGAAACTTTGGGTGGTGGAATATAAGTTGATGCTTCTATTTTATTTTTTATCAGGCTGTTATGCCGAAAGTGCTTTACGCTGTTGGTTTCCATCTTTGTTTGGCAATTTAAAAGTGAGACTGCTAGCGCTACAGTAAAATCCCAAATACCTTGTCTGATGCAAACAGCAATGAGCTGATGTGATGCAACAAACAGAAACATTTGTGAGATTCTTCTCATGTGGTCTGCTCAAAACATGATTTGCTCCCCCAAGACACACAGTATCAGAGAGTTCTTCAATGTAAAGCCAACCGGTATGAAACATCTGTGCCCCTTTTAGTGAAACTCGTGAATTATATGAGAATATATTGTGTGGAATATTGACAGTGAAGTGGTTATGACTGATCATGTGGAACTTTCCTCTTGAGGACAATAAAGTTTAGTAATCTAATGATTGCAAAACGACAAAACAAAAAGTAATATTAACCTTTCCATTGCCTGTGCTTCCACACAGCTGGGAGCATGCCAGTCCTTCCTAAAACCTCAGCCCTGGGGTCAATGATAATTAGATATTTGTACAGTATAACAGCAGTTGGTTGTGAGTTTGTTTGAAAGTGAAAACAAGAACTGTATCCACTTTTCAAACAGGCAACAGGTCATAGATTTCAGCTGTCTCTCAGCTCATGTAATTTGCTGAACTGTTATATTTCGAGCATCAATCTTTTACAAGTGGAGCAGTAATTTAGTATAATTATGCTTCCACTATTACTATGTCAATCTTCAAAAAGGGCGATAGTCTGGGACAAATTCTCACTCATATGTACTGTTACATAGTAATTGACATACAGATGGAGATTTGTACAAGCACAGATTGCTGAAAACAGATTTGGCAAGCACATTTTGAATAAAAAAATAATGGTTTGTATTTGTTTTCAAGGCAAAGCTTGAAGTCAAATATCGCTGTTGAATGAAAAATTTAGCTTTGAAATCAAATGTGACTTGCTTTGAATTCTACCTCTTGAAATCTTGTTATCTTTGTAGACCTTTATTCCTGGAGTCCGTGAAAAGGCTGTCTGCATGGCTGCCAAACACAAGCCTAGTGCCTTGCTAATCCTCTCAGACAATGAGAGCTAGCCTTGCCATAGGGATATACAATCAAAACCCCCAAGGCCAAATAATAGAAATTCAAATTTTCTTGTATTGATACTGACATTGATCTCTGCTATGTAACAAACAGACAATCCATCTAAGTGAGTTTGAATGTTTTTTTCTTATTTAATTGTGTTTCATTTTTGGCATGAGTATTTCAATACCATAAACAACATTTTAAAAAAGGTACAAGTCAAAATTGTTAAAATTAGATTAGCAAGGAAAATTGCTGTGTTTTCCTATATACAGTATTGTGTCTGATTGACAGACAACAACAGAGTTTAAATCCATCCATCCATCTTCATCGGCTTATCCGGGGTCGGGTCGCGGGGAGAGTTTAAATGTTTCTTTTTAATTTTCTTCTTTTCTTCTTTTTTTAAGAAAATTCTGACTGAAGAAAGGACATGTTATCCTCTCAATGAAAAAAGCTGCATTACTGGACTGGTCCATTTCTATTCCTGGGGCTTCTGAGTAAAAACTGCTTTAAATCTTGTGAAGCTTGTATTGAGAATAGGCACTGGTTAAACATTTCAGTGTGCATATACTGCCATCTTGTGCTTTCAATTGAAATGGTACAATTACATCACAATTGGTTTTGTTTCATTGATAACATAACCTTGCCAGGAGTTTTCTTTCATAAAATACAGTGTTGTTTGTGTAACTTCTTGTGTATTTTACTGTGTATCTCAATATCAATATCAGCAAGACTAAACAGCTGGTGGTGGATGACTGGAGGAATGGGAGCCCCCCCCCGTCCTGGTTATCATCCAGGGAGAGGAAGCGGAGAGTGTGAAGTCATTCACCTTGGGGTCCAAGTCGACAAAAAATTGGACCGGACTCACAACACCAATGTCCTCTTGAGAAAGGAACAGAGCAGACTGTTCTCCCTGAGGAGACTAAGATCCTTCAGTTTGTGCAACAGGTTCCTGGCGACATTCAACCAGTCTGTAATAGCCAGCACTGTTCTTTGCTCTGGTGTGCTCGGGGTGGTGGCATTAAGGCTGAGGAGGCCAGAATACTTAACAAGCTGGTACGGTAGGCCAGCTTGTAGTCGGGCTGGAACTAGAAAGTCTGGAGGCAGTGGTAGAGAGCAGGATGAAGGACAAGATCAAAGTCATCCTTGATAACCCCTCTCAATGAGCTGTGGCAGATGGACAGCTCATTCAACCATCCGATCATCCCACCTAGGTGCAAAAGCACAACTAGGCATTTCAGGTGCTCATTTGTGCCAACTGTCATCAGAATGTACGGCAGCAGTGGAGACCACCAACTTCAACACGACTCTGACCATGCAGCTCAACCCCATGTTTCCACAGTGTCTGGTACGCTCAAGACACTCATTACTCTCCCTCTCCACATTCTCTCTGTTGGACTGATCATATATATTTTGCTATATATGTTGATATATTTTGTTATATATTTTATTATACTATACTTTTACTTATTATATATTAAACCATACCCATACTAAATCATGTTAGATTTGATATTCTATGTTATATTGTTGTACTATCCCATATAGTATATAGTATTATTCTATATTACAACATTTCACCTTATTGTATCTCATATCCCATACCATATTATAAGAAATATCAAGTACCATATAATTCTACAATATGTTAATATGTTATATTGACTTTTGAACTACATTCTATGTTATATTTCTAGTATATCTCTGGATTAATACGGACCAACACTAATTACCATTATTAATCATATCATATATTAGTCTGGAGTACACTGTTTGCAGGCTTGCTGACTCCCACCACTTTCACTTTCACTAAATTGATTCTAATTTTAGTTTTATATACGTTAGCATATATTTCTTTTTGCTTTCTCTATTTATCTGTACTTATTGCATATCGTGTAACAAATTTCCAAGCTGGGGATCAATATATGTTTATCTTACCTGTTATTAGGAATAAAGGGGTTTAAGTTTGGGAATCCAGTGGGCATCGGTTGATTTATGAAAAATGTTTTATGTACCCTGAAAAGGGAAAAATTTAAATATCTTTCAGGGGCGAAATATATTTAAGATGTGGATTGTGATTGGCTTGTCCCAATTGAGTCCAACAACTGGGGGGTGAACAATATGAAAATGGGATGAGTGAATTGTCCAGTATTATGAGGACAGCTGAATTACCACGAGTTCATATTTTCTTTCAGTAAGAACATGTTGTCCTTTAACAATTGACATCCTTTCCCACTGACACAACTTACCTATTCTACAGGTCTATCCATACGAAGAGGAAAACCCGAAAAAAAAAAAAAAAAAAAGGATTTGGACCCTCACGGCCCTCCGTACTTGTAGAACGCGTGACGCGCCTTGTCCTGTGACGTAGTTTGCGTAGAGTCGTTCAATACTCACATTAGCGAATTTTATCATTTTTGGGAGGAGAATATGTATTATAGAATCAGATAATCGTTACTCTAGTGTGCTCACTTAAAACCTATTGGTGTCGTCGTTTACACATCTACAATTCACAGACGAAAATGACCGATTTGACAGATTCTCTAACCAAAGAGGGCTGGTAGGTAGCATGCTAGCCGACGTCAGTGAGCTAACGTTAGCTAACGTTAAGTCACTGAGGTTCCAGATTGGTGTTGGCTTTAACACTGACTAACGTTAATCATTGTATCTTTACATCATATTTTAGAGCAGAGATGTTTCCAATGTACACACTACCACTTAAGGTTGTGCGGATTGTGGCAACGTTATTAGTATGTCTGAAGCGAAACTAATGCTAAGTAATTAGAAGCTAACGTTAGCGAGATAAATAACGTTAGCTAACACCGCTAATAAATGCTTAGCATGACATTAACGTAACGCAAACTGTTGACGTTACAGTTTGTGTTAACCGATTAGCAGTCGTAACGTTGCATGGCGGGGTGGTCAGAGAGGGCCAACCTCAGCTGGAGTCAAAAACTTGCAGTGCTTTTGAAAGTCATAACTTCACAGCAGCACGCATCATTGTAAAGTATAAACTGCTGACTTTGTTAATGTGATGACCGCTACTGCAGTGTCAGTATTTATCAGAGGCTAATAAAATTAAACCCAGTTATTAATGTAATACAGACATGTAACGACTATGCTTCTGAGGTTGTCCTGTTGTTGGCACATGATGTAATCTGACCAAAGATGCTGAGGGCTTAACTCTGCGTCACTCTTCCTTCTGCCTTAGCATTAATGACACACATGTTTTTATCACGTCGTTTCATGAAATGATTTTAAAAATCGATTGAACCGTGTTTAAACGTTGTCATGTTTCGTGGTTAATTGGACTGTTTGATACCTAAAAACTGTCTACCAATATTGTCAGATTACTTGTGATTGAAGCGCCATGGGTATATGCTCCCTAGAAGCTTTAAATGTTTTAACATTAGTGTGATAAACCTCTTTGAACTTCATCTTACCTCTCCACCTTGTCTTTCATTTTACAGGTACCTCAGCGACGAAGGCATAGCAGAACTGAAAGGATCTGCTGAAAAAATAACACACAATGACATTATTCGTATTGCCCTTGATGTAAGTTTAAATCTTGCAAGTTTTTACAGGTACATTTTTCAAGTGTAACAGCAGTCTGCCCTGCCCTTATGTAGCAGTATGCAGATATTATGTTCAATAATGGGTTAACTAATGTATCCAGTATTCATTGCTCTTCAGGTGTATACTGATGCACACTGCCATCATACATAATGAAACAGACACAATTTTAGGGTGATAAATTCTCTTCTCTGTGAAGGTTCAGTGTGTTAAATCCAGTCCATTGCCTTCCTCATAACTCAATATCAGAAATAAACATTTTGCCATAAATCTAATAATAATAATACAGGCATGCAAATTCCCCACCTTTTGGCGAAATTTGCCATTTTGAGACCAAAATGGGTTACCTACGTGATTTGTGCAGATCGATGAGAAAACATTTTAAGGGGGGGGGGCGGGTCTGTTTTCAAGACCGCTACACTGTGGAGTCTGACAGCTGAACACTTGTGGACATTAGTGCTGAACTGCTGAACAAACTGTTCGTCAGAAAGCAAGCCTGATGTAAGACGGAAGTACGCTAGCTTACAGTATTAACAATCCTGTCAGATACAAGAAAGTTGCCAATTTTATAACTTTGCCCGCTGTTATTAACCAATAATATTAGGTAAGCTAATTGTTTATTTATGGAGAGCAGAGGCAGCCTTTTTATATACAGTCTGTGGAGGGAGCACATTAGGCTACATGTTGGTAGGCTAACGTCAACAAGATAAAAACGTGTCGGCATCTGTGTTGTTTACACTGGGGGCGCTAGGGTCATGTCCCCATCACCCAAAAGGTGGCCGATTTTGTCCCCACTGCTTTTTGAAAGCATTTGTTAAAAATGTTCTGTATAGCTTGCAACCAAAAATCTTAAATAACAAATGAAAATGCTTTGAGAAAAGTTAATTTGCACTTATTTATTTATTTAACTTAAGTTAAAAAAAAAATCAAGCTACTTATTATAAAATGACCACAAAACGTGCACACACCAGTCAGTAACTTTAACAACTTCTTGACACAGTTTCTTCTTGGCCAAGTTTTCCGTTTGCTTATATTTTTAGATTTTCAATTGTCACCTGCCACCTGAATTTTGTTTCCCTTTTACATAAATAAAAACATTTCCACCATGAATTATTGCAGGAAAGGAAATTGGTGCAGGGCATTTCACCAGAAGGCAGGAAATGAAATGTCTAATGCTCAAAAATTTATGGGGGAGGACCCCCAGACCCCCTAACTCATAGATTTCAACATTAATTCTTTTCTATAAAGTAATGCTAAAATATCTTCTTGTCTTGTTTTCGTGACACCAATATCTTGTATCATCTTCTCTCGTGAGCTCAGTGTATTGTCATACCCCTAATCTGAGCCCTTATTTCCCCACCACTTTTCAACACAAAGTGATGCCCTTGCATGTCGTTATCTTTCTCTTGTTGCAGTAGACAATCTATACAAACATGTAAGCTTAAACAGACCCATCTGATGCCATCTCTGTGTGTTTTATTTGCTTGCGTATTCTTTTCACCTTTTTTACCTCTGACCAGCTTGCATGCCTGATGATGATGATGATGATGATAATAATTCACCATATAGTATACTTTATGGTCCTGCAAATGCACGATTACTTGTCTGCTTCAATTGGCTTCATGATATCCATTTCTGGCACTGTAGGGACAAGTCAAAGGGCCCCTCCCTAACATGCAAATAAAGAGCATTTTTATTTTGGGGCACAGTACAGTGTAGGTAAACACATTTTTGGAATGTATTTACTTACTTTATTTAATTATTTCTGGCACATTATTTGCTTTTAATTAAACAGTATCTCTCTTGCAGAGTGATATTAGGCCTCTTGGGAGAAAATGTCTACCGTCTGATATCAATAGTGGAAGAACTGAGAAGGTGAGTGGTACAGAAATTCTTGTTCATCCATTTCAATGCTACATTTTTGAAACTTAATGGGAAATGATGTGCTGTGGTTATTGCATTTTACAGCTGTAAGTTTGTACAGACTCATGTTTTCAGCTCAAATGCATTTCTCATGAGTGCCACTAGATGGCCCTAAAACACTGACAAACAAGAATTAAATAACTGCTTCTTCACCTGTGAAACTTGGGTTGAGAATCTGGATAGAACAAAAAATATTCCAACAATTGTGAGAGAATTAAAACGTGTAATTCTATGTCATCTTAACCCCTGCTCCCTTCAAGAGTCACACTCATGTTACACGTGTCATACACTTTTCTTAGTGCAGTGTATATGTCTGAACAGTGTGAATGCCATCTGAACATCTTTATTTTCATTGCACTGCTTACAGATTGCAGTATTGCCTGTAGGTTGCATGTACACATGCTTCTTTTCACAGAAATAGAAATCATTATTTGAGAGGGTAGTAGGATTAGGTAGGATTTGATAAATGGTTTTAAATAAAATAGTCGCTGTGAATCGGGCCATGAAGCAGTTGTGAAGAGTAAGTATACCTAACACAGTTAGAATGGAAAGAGTTATTTTATTATGCCTTGGAAATGACTTTGCGTAACCACTGATAAATATAACAATTTTTTTTCAGTATTGAGTTTTTGCTGTTGCGGTCGTCCCCCGCATGCTGCTGCTGCTTGCCTTTTTTAGCCATAATTATTTTGTTGTCTGTTGCACATGGACAGTTGGAGGGTCCATGTGTTCTCCAGGTGCAGAAGGTGAGGAACATCTCGGCTCCTAAAAACCATGAGGAGTCCCAGGGCGCACCGCGAATGCTGCGTCTACAAATGACAGATGGGCACACCACCTGTGTTGGATTGGAGTTTAAACACTTGTCTAAGATCAGGTAGCTGTACAACAGTTTTACTGTGTTATGTTTAGTGCAAATAATGGGATGTAATGTGTTGTAGTCTGGGAAGTTAATAACACTCTTCAGTACAGCTAAGAAAAAACTTTAATTAAATGAAAATAAAGAATTGTTAAAAACATCATTAAGTCAGTTCCTCATACATTCAAAGCAAACGTGTAAGATGCACACACCCTTCACCTCTCACCCCATCACAGTTTTCCCTTTATCTGCAACTTCCACATGGTGGCAGCTATCTAACAATTCCCAGCCTTAATTACATCTCCATCGCAGCAACGGTGGCCTTGGTGACTGCTGCCATGGTGACTAGCCAGTCTGTACAGGTGGAGTGGCCAGAATGTGGGCCTTGACTTCCTGATGGGAAGAGAGAAGAGTACAGAACAAATCCCCTCTTTATGAGCGGCACACACACACTGGCTACCAACAGCGGTGGTTAGTGTTTCTTATGAAAGTGTTCGCTTTAGTGCACGTGAGGCCATAAATGAGTGGCAAAGGAGGATACGATGGATTACAAGACTGTTCAGTGTGGGAGACAGTGATATAGAGGGATGACAATTAAGCATTAAGTAGCAACATTAATCAGAGCGTGAATGGTGTGTTTGTGGGATTGGGTGCATATGATTGAATCGAGGATAGAGTGCCTCACTTGTGCATTGGCTGCTATCATGAGAACAGCATCTATCCCAGAGGTTTGGAGTGAAATCCCTAATTGTTGCTTTGGCATCCGGCATCAGTAGCTGGAAATCCCTCTAAGTCCCTGTGCTTTCTTAATGAGAGAGGCAGAGGCCTTATCAGGCCTGATGAGATAGAGGGGCTTTTAATTTACCATGAGGATGGCTGAGCAGCTGGGATTATTAATAGTCTCTCCTAGCCTCGCCACCCATCCCCTGGCACTGCTCCAGGTCATTTATAAAGTGGTATGTGTAAGGCAATAGTGTGTGGGGCTTGGTGGATGCTGTTATAATATCTTAAAACCTTGAATGTGTTTAACATTTAACAGTTTGTTAAACAGTTTATATATGAAGCATCCATTTATACGTACATTTTTGTTGATTTGTTTGTGTTTTTCAGTCTTAATACCCCTCCTGGAACAAAGGTAAAGCTCCTTGGTACCATCCAGGTTAAAAATGGTATTTTGCTGCTCGATGACTCAAAAATCTCTGTCCTTGGAGGAGAGGTTGATCACATGGTGGAGAAATGGGAACTGCAAAGGGTGAGGGACAGTTTTGAAATTATGGCTCAGCTACTTTGGCTAAAAAAATGTGGAATTTATGTTTTGTTAATTTTAAGTCATTACTCTTGCTAGGATTGAAATATTTTCTTAGTGTTTAAGAATGATCTCCCTTTTACAATTCAACCCGCAGAGTCTGGCCAAACACAGCAGGAGTAACATTGGAGCAGAAGGTGGTCCTCCTCCCTTTGTGCCATTTGGTCAGGTGAGGATAATAATAATTATAATAGAGCACTTTTCAAAATAAAGTTCCAAAGTGCGTGTCATAAACACAAAAATAAAATAAACTAGAAACAGGGATATACAATGATTATGAAAATTAGATTTCAGCTGTGATTTACAGTTTTTCTCAGTCGCTTTGGTGCATTTCTCAGATCAGAATTGAAATTCTCAAAACTAATTGTTCAACCTCCACATCATCTCATCACTTGTGCACATCATAAAAGCACTTTCTCATTGTTTTGAACAAATTGCAAATGACTTGACACACTGATGCAAATGATTATGTACAATTGTCTGCTGTTTCCTACATTATCAATTGCTTATGCCCTGCTGAGATATAGATATATACATATATAACGAATGTTGTTTTCCCCTGAGAACGGGATAATTCATTTTCTCGTGAACACGAGATAACAAACCATAGCTGAATACAGGGGCTGGCAGGTGCGTTTTAGGATCATTTCTAAGCAATTACCAGTGTCACTGGTTAGTTCAGTTGGTAGAGCACAGGGCTTAGTTTGATTAGTTTGATTCCTGTTCTTGTTGACTTTCTTTTTCTTCTTTTGTGTGTATTATCCTCTTCAGCAAATTTGTTATGAAGAGATTGAGGGAATCCAATCACACATTTCCTGACGGCTATTTCAAAGGTTCAGAAAGTCGTCAGGAAATGTGTAATGTTACATGGATTCCCCTGAATGAGAAGGAATTTCCTCTGCCTGGGAATGATGGGGAAATGAAAAGTCCATAGTTTGATGGATGTGGACCAAGAACGCACAGGGTCCAGCACGTGCTTTAGAGTAACAAGTTCAATGACATAAAGATTTGCTTTTGAGAGATTTTGAGCAAGTTATGGGCTTTTGCAGGTAATCCACTGTGCCGTTTGTACTACCTGTTTCGAGAAATGCACTTACTGTTTTGCAAATGTTAAGGATGATTCGAGAAATGCACCAAAGCGAATGAGAAAAACTGTAATAGAAGTTAGGGGGCACTGTTAAATAACAATAACCTCTCAAATGCATTTGAGGGGCCTGGTTCCAGGAGTGGACCTTGATGTCCCTTTGCTTGGCAGTGTTCTCTCTGATCTTTTTGAACTGATTGTGAGAGTCTTAATGAATCTTTAAAATGCATGACTAAATTTATTTCTGCTTTGTTGTCCTACAAGACATAATGCAAACCGTGCAATGACAGTTTTACCTTCCCTAAAATATATGTGTTGTGTAAGTGTTGCATTTGTAATAAAATAAATTGTTGTGGAAATTGGTACAAAAAGGTAAGAGATTATGTTTCAAGGATGATAAGCAGGCCTCTTAAGTTCACCATTAAAAACACTTCCATCACGTAGTGAAACAATTGGTATCCTGAATTGGCAGTTGAATTGCACATCACTGCGATTTACACAAAATTAAATGCAGACATTTCTCTTTTAAAAACTACTGGGCCTGAGTCAATACTCCCTCATAGCCTCAGAGTGGTCCTTTTCATCTTGACACTTGGATTTTTGGGATTTTCACCCACTCTTAATTCCAGATTTTTTCAAGTTTTGTGAAGTTGGATAAGGAGCATCTGGGCATAATCATTCAACGTTCTTTGGATTTTGTACTTCTACTGCTGGGGCCACTCTGGGGCTTAGTGTTGATTTGATGTCTGCTTAGGGTTATATAAATATTATCCTATGTCAAGGTAATTGGATTCTCGGTGGCTGCAGAGTCAGTTCCACGTCTCCCAGTTGCTGCTCCTTAGAAGCACATTCTCACAGTGTGAAGCCGCCACCACTACTCTTCACAGTAGGAATGTTTTTGGAAGTGAAGTGAGTTTGTGGGTTTTCACCAGACATTTTGTTTCCCCTGAAGATTTTGATGTAATTTACATCTCATTAGACACATAACACTTTTAACCAGTGAAGTATAGGTACACTTGCATGCAAGTTTTAGTCATCATATTTACATCAGTTACCGCTTAACCTTTATATGATTTATCTGCCTTGACCTTCCAGAATTGATTGCCAGTGCCACTGCCTTGTTTAGCCTGGCTAATCTACAGGGCGCTTTAGGAATTGTTTTCTACCAAATATAAAAAATGGCAAAGTGTCCACAGTGATTTTCCTGAACCATTTTTCAAAGCTTTTAGGACAACAAATAAAATACTCCCCATATAAATTGGAATGGCAGTACAAATATCAGTGATGGAGATCGCAAAACCTGTGCAAATGAAAGCCCAACTATCTGCGTAGCTAGGTATGACCATGCGTAATTAGGATAATGGTTGCTATTTTAATCGTGCATACCCATCAACATGCAAAGTGGTAGGTCTTGGGTGCAGCAGCACATAGTGCAGAAGGGCTGAGTGTATAGATCTTATAGATTATAGAGTATAGATCAGAGGGTGTGGTGATTAATAAATTCACTCTTTGCCAGTCATTTCACTGGTCTCCTACCTGTTAAACAGCCATGGCAATCACATTGACACTTGATGACAACAGCTCAACAAATAAAGGTTTTCTCTAGCAAAGTGGCACAATGTGAACACATAGCACCAGAAATCTGCAGCCAAAGGCAGATGTTTTTTTTTATTTTTATATTTAATTACTACTAATTAAATATTTATAATCTTGATATAGAACAAATAATAAAAAATTGTTTGGTGAAGCTAATTTGGCTCATAATTCCACTGTATCTCATGTAAATTGCCACATCATATCTTAAAATGTGATTCAGCAGTGTTTGCACTCTGCATTTCAAGAATAAAACATGAACTCCTGAAACTGAAGTTGGAAAGCAGGCCTTTACGCACAAGATTAATTAACTCCAGTAATCCGTTGTCTCTCGCAAGACAGGCAGCAGGCAGAGTAACGAGTCATAACGGACCCATCTAATGTGTGTGGTTGTTCGGTAACAGCCTGGTGTAATTTGCACAAGATTTAATGAAGGTAAACACGGCGGTTGGCCATGCGTAATGGCACTGCGCTCTGGCATGGCATTTCTGAATATGGAGACTGCAGATTTATCAACATATCTGTCCTGCTGCCTTCAGATGCCTGCAAGGATTTAATGACCTGAAGGAGAAGCTTTTCATTAGTAGTGCAGAGTGATTTACCAGCGTTCCTGCTTTATCCTCATTAAACGTCTATTACCTGGGTAGTGTTTAATTAAATTTGTTTGTGCCATAGTGACATTGTGCCAGAAACAGAAGTGGTTCTGAGAGGTTTATTGTCAGCACAAAGTCTTAAGACCTGGTTTCCACTAAAATACCAACAGCTCTCCTTGTGTTGCCTTAATTGAATGAACCTTCCACCTGAGCACCTTGCGCTCTGCTCTTGGCACCAAAATACCACACAGAATGGAAAAGTGGACTTTACTGTCAGGAAAATACCAAATGGTTGGAGTGCTGCTTACTGTTAGTCGTCGCGCCAACAAAAAATTGCCCAATTTCTTTTTTGTTGTAATTTGGGTGACCTTACCTCTTAACATCTAATCACAAGTCATTAGGAAGTTCACACTTTTGCGTGATACGTGTGGCGCCATTCCTCCTTCATTAGTCTTGCTACCTAACAGGTCATCAGTTTAATCTTTGGTATCGGCTACCCACTTTCCTTCTCTTCAGGCAGGTCACATCTAGATTTATTATTGTGCCACCTATCTCTTACCATGCAACAAAACAATGGTGAACTTACTCAGTCAGTTGCTGAGTTCTCTGACTGAATCATTACTCCCTACAGCCATGAAACGGCTGCTGTTAGTGTTGTTTTTCAGTCTTATTTCTCCCAACAGATACTGTTGACATACAGTTCACAGTTGAGTGTCAGAACTTTAACCGTGATATGGGAGGCAGCTTTGGGATTTGGATTTAACTTCAATACTGCTGGTGACTTCATTATAGTTCTAATTTAATCCTACAAAATGTGGAAATTGTCAAGCGCATTGATTCTTTTCCTTAAGGAAGCATACATGATTGAGGAGAACATGTTCTTTCTCTGTTTGTTCCCTGTAGAAGTGTGAAAGGATGGATGATGTAGACAGCAGAGAGCTAGACCAGAGAAAGACCCTGCCGACTCACAGTGTGCTCAAAAGTGCAGACGAGAATGATGAGTTTGAAAAGCAGCGGACAGCAGCCATTGCTGAGGTGGCCAAGAACAAAGAGGTATGTAAACTCTTATCACGGGTGTGCATCTTTATTACATGTTACGGAGATACGAACAGGTTACTTATTTATTTTTACAGAGCTACTACTACATATTGTAACTCACATTTGTTGACTTTGTTTCATAATATGTTGTGTATTACAGTCACTCTATTATACTGCTTTAAATGAGTTAACCTATATTTAACTTTAATTTTGAACATTTGATTTTCACTTGTTTTGCCAGGTTTCTTGGCTTCATTTTAGGAACGCGTGCTCCTTATTGACATTGATTGTAACTTCAAATTAAACTGCAAATTTCAGTTTCTTGTTTTGGCTTTATTGTTTTTATCCAACCCTGCAGCTCTGTTGATCTTCATGTTCTTTTACTTGTTAGGGTCCCCGCACGTTTGGTGGTGGAGGAAATGCAGGCAGTAATTTATCCAATGCTGCTTCCTCCTTTCGGGGCAGAGACTCATACCAGCAGAGGAGACGAGAAGACAGGGTCGAAAGACCTGAAAGCAGACAAGATGGAAACTATCGAGAGCTGGTGAGAAGACAAACGTGGTCCAAACCCGTAAACCAATTTAAGTGTATTTTAATACAAGCCCCCTGTGTTGAAATGATTGCTGAGGCATCCGTTCACTGTAGAAAATCAATTCAAAGTTTGGAACTTGTTCTGGTTTCGTCTTTGGTTTCTTTGGTCTAGATTGAAGTCTTATTTCATGGCTCATAGCCTGGGTGAGGCATCGATTATGATATTGTAGAAATCTAAATGAACTGGAGGCTTGGGCAGTTTTTTTCAATCAAGTGGCAGTCCATTTGTCTAGCTTTGTGTTGTGACCCGCCAGTTTCTTGGCAGAAGTCAGCCAGCTTTGGGCTGAACACATAAATAGGATGGAACAGGATGTTACAGTGTTTGGCTTTGGACTGAGTTAATGGTTTTTGAAACTTGAATGCACTCTAATCCAACCTAAAACCAAACTCACTGAGATACCCATGTCCGGCCCACTTAAAACAGGAGATTCTTTGTGAAACTTTTTTCCAATCCAATCCATCCAATTCATTTTTCTCTGTCACAACGAACCTTATGTAGGGGCCTAACTAAGGGTGTGATAAGACACTTAGCTGACGAGACAAGATGAGATTTTAACACTATTTTTAAGAAATCTTCAATGCTGAATTATAGGAAAACTTTGAGCATTAAACAGTTTATTTCCATTTTGGTGCCATTTTCTGCACCAATATATGGTGGAAATGTTTTTATTTATGTAAAGAGAAATACAAAATTCAGGCTGCATGTGACAATTCAAAATCTAAAACTATTAACAGAATATAATGCAGTAAGGCTTTCACCTTCAGGTGTTAATTTCAGATGTGTATTTTCTCTTGTAGATCCTTTTCTTATGCAATACCATCCCTGTTGAGTTAGCACACATGCAGGCGTGATGTAGTCGTCCTTCCTCTTTGTGTCTTTGTTTGGGGAAGTAACCTCTTTAAATGTGCATGTGGCACCTTTTCACCTCAATGATTAATGTCTTCATTTTTATTTAGTTATAAACTCCTGGACTTTTATAGCTTCTGTGTTTCAGCTCTTGTTCAAAACTTTCTGCACATTGAGAATCTCTCCTACATATTTGTGTTCTCTGACATGTCGAGAAAAAAGTTGTAATATTACGAAACTAACATTGTCATTTAATGAGAATTTATAATATTAGTCTGTCTGAACTATGCTGTGCTGTGCGTTACGATTTGCTCCGCTGGTAGTATCAGATGTCAACTGTCTAGACTCATAGCGCGAGAGCAGGTTCACTTGATTACAATCATGGTGTAAGTCCACATTATTAGTTATACATTTGTTTTTATCTGCATGAGAACGTTGATGTGAGGTGTGGCACCATGTAAAAAATGTCAATTGTGTGAGTGTTTTAACCCGACGAGATATGTCATCATGTTTTAATCTCGTGGCACGAGATTTCTTTGCACCCTTTGGCCTAACATTACCAAACAACCATTGTCCATCCACATGCCTTTTCCCCCTCTACCTACACATTTTATACCTTATTCATAAAATCTGTTGTTCTTTTTGTCTTTTCTCTCATTATGTCTTGTGTGTAGGTGGATGAACGTGCTCTGAGAGACATCATGGAGATGGGCTTTAACAGGGAGGCTGCTCGGCAGGCTCTAATGGATAATAACAACAACCTTGAAGTGGCACTAAACAGCCTACTGACTGGATCTACTGGTAGCAGACCTGGCCCTGGCCCTGTTGTAGCAGAATCTAACAGGCACCAACCCAGAGGTTCATACACACACACACACACACATTCTGCCCACTTTGACTTGAAAAAATGCCCCATAGCCATAAACACTTTGTGTTTCTACAGAGTAAAAGTGAGATTGGGGGAGTGATGTTGTGGTCCTATAAACGCAGTGAAAATCACCTGCAGCCTAGTTAAAGGTCCACAGTGGCGCTTTAGCTTGTTGTAGTCCATTTATCACAAAGTGCAAACACACTTTACTGCCAAGTATTGTCCCAAGCACACCGTAAGGTTTCAGATGGATATACTACTTTACCTGCAGTCAGTGTTTTGTATTTGTTTCAGTACTGAAAATCCAACTTACAGCAACTTGAAACTTCAAACAACTATACAAAGTTTTATGAGGAAAGTGAAATAGAAACCAGGGCAAAGAAATTATTTACCGTGGTTGAATGAAAACATAAGGTCACTCATGAAACAAAGGGCCCAGGCTCTTACGATGGCTCTCAGGAACAAAGTGGAACATGAGAAGCGTCTATTTACCACACTGAGAAATAAGGTCAAAAAAGCTCTTAGAAAGACAAAAGCGATATTCTTCATTAATGCTATAAGTGAAACAAAGGGGAAAAGTAAAGAAATCTGGCAGAATTTAAAGAAATTAACCGGGAAATCTAATACCATTAATAAAAAAATCGCATTAAATATAGATGGAATCGTGATCCATGATCCAAGTAAAGTGGTATATTTATTTCATTGATTCTTTAAAAACGTTGAGTCAGAATTTCACTGAATTGAAATATTCTGTCGCTCCTCTAAATACTAATGCTCCCATTTTGACTTAATACCAAAGTGTGCATGATTATTTCCTCTTTATATTGTTCAAGGGCAAAGGATGTACAGTGGGTACGGAAAGTATTCAGACCCCTTTAAATTTTTCACTCTTTGTTTCATTGCAGCCATTTTCCAAAAATCAAAAAAGTTCATTTCATTTCTCAGTAATGTACACTCAGCACCCCATCTTGACAGAAAAAAACAGAAATGTAGAAATTTTTGCAAATTTATTAAAAAAGAAAAACTGAAATATCACATGGTCATAAGTATTCAGACCCTTTGCTCAGTATTTAGTAGAAGCACCCTTTTGATCTAATACAGCCATGAGTCATTTTGGGAAAGATGCAACAAGTTTTTCACATCTGGATTTGGGTATCCTCTGCCATTCCTCCTTGCAGATCCTCTCCAGTTCTGTCAGGTTGGATGGTAAACGTTGGTGGACAGCCATTTTCAGGTCTCTCCAGAGATGCTCAATTGGGTTTCAGTCAGGGCTCTGGCTGGGCCATTCAAGAACAGCCACGGAGTTGTTGTGAAGCCACTCCTTCGTTATTTTAGCGGTGTGCTTAGGGTCATTGTCTTGTTGGAAGGTAAACCTTCGGCCCAGTCTGAGGTCCAGAGCACTCTGGAAAAGGTTTTCGTCCAGGATATCCCTGTACTTGGCCGCATTCATCTTTCCCTCGATTGCAACCAGTCGTCCTGTCCCTGCAGCTGAAAAACACCCCCACAGCATGATGCTGTCACCACCATGCTTCACTGTTGAGACTGTATTGGACAGGTGATGAGCAGTGTCTGGTTTTCTCCACACATACCGCTTAGAATTAAGGCCAAAAAGTTCTATCTTGGTCTCATCAGACCAGAGGATCTTATTTATAACCATCTTGGAGTCCTTCAGGTGTTTTTTAGCAAACTCCATGTGGGCTTTCATGTGTCTTGCACTGAGGAGAGGCTTCCGTCGGGCCACTCTGCCATAAAGCCCCGACTGGTGGATTGCTGCAGTGATGGTTGACTTACTACAACTTTCTCCCATCTCCCGACTGCATCTCTGGAGCTCAGCCACAGTGACCTTTGGGTTCTTCTTTACCTCTCTCACCGAGGCTCTTCTCCCCCGATAGCTCAGTTTGGCTGGACGGCCAGCTCTAGGAAGGGTTCTGGTCGTCCCAAACGTCTTCCATTTGAGGATTATGGAGGCCACTGTGCTCTTAGGAACCTTAAGTGCAGCAGAAATTTTTTGTAACCTTGGCCAGATCTGTGCCTTGCCACAATTCTGTCTCTGAGCTCTTCAGGCAGTTCCTTTGACCTCATGATTCTCATTTGCTCTGACATGCACTGTGAGCTGTAAGGTCTTATATAGACAGGTGTGTGGCTTTCCTAATCAAGTCCAATCAGTATAATCAAACACAGCTGGACTCAAATGAAGGCGTAGAACCATCTCAAGGATGATCAGAAGAAATAGACAGCACCTGAGTTAAATATGAGTGTCACGGCAAAGGGTCTGAATACTTATGACCATGTCATATTTCAGTTTTTCTTTTTTAATAAATTTGCAAAAATTTCTACATTTCTGTTTTTTTCTGTCAAGATGGGGTGCTGAGTGTACATTACTGAGAAATAAAATGAACTTTTTTGATTTTTGGAAAATGGCTGCAATGAAACAAAGAGTGAAAATTTTAAAGGGGTCTGAATACTTTCCGTACCCACTGTATATGGGATTGACACAATATATATTAAAACTCATAAGGAGGCACTCATTCATCTTATTCTTATTTCTCCGAACAGATAATATCCAATTTAAATGCTACGTCTTTTTCATTACATCCTCCCGTCGAAAATATCATTCCACTGAAACCGCTAATTGTTTTCTTTTGGAAACTGGACCAAGGAGGTGTCGTTGGGCGGTCTTCCTTGATTTGAAGAAAGCCTTTGATACAGTAAATCGTGAGATTTTAATTACAAAGTTATCAAAGTTAAATTTTTCATCCAGTGTCATCAAATGGATACTGTCGAACCTTATAGATAGATGTGTTTGCATAGACCATAAAACTTTTCAAATGACGGATAATGGCTTAAGTGTACCTCAAGGTTCAACGTTGGGTCCTCTGTTGTTCTGTCTGTATATTAATGACCTACCTGAAGTTTGTCCTTCTGCAGTAACTTGTCAGATGTACGCTGATGATCATATATGTACATGCAAAAAACAAGAAGCAATATGCTAAGGAACTATCAGCTTCTATGGTCAGTATCTCTAATTGGCTAACAAACTCTTGTTTACATCTTAATACCAGCAAAACTGTATGCATGAAATCTGCAAATAAAGATCCAGACCCAGAGGTTACTGTAGCAGGAAGAACGCTGTCAATTGTGCATGAGTTTAAGTATTTAGGTATAATATTAGACATACAACTGACATTTAAATCACAAGTTAAAAAAGTTGTAAACAGAATTAAATTAAATTTGGTAAATTTTAGACACATTAGGAGTAATTTAACTACAGAGGCCTCAAAGTTGTACATCAATGCCATGATATTGTCACATATGAACTACTGTATGACCAGCTGGACTGCATTACAATCAGTAGAAACAGTTTATAAACGGGCTTTGAAAACAATGGATAATAAGTCAAATTAATTTCATCATTGTAATATTTTAAAGAAGCATGGCAGCGCGTACCTGGAATACGATACCTACAGAACTAAGAAGCATTTCTTCTCTTACCACCTTTTCAAAAGCTATAAAACAGTGGTTACTGGACAATCAAATATGTTGTCATAATTTGTAGTAGTCCTTTTGTCATTGTTTTTACATATTCCTGTACTCACATGTTGATGTATTTTACGTGTCATATTATTTGTGCTTGTCTGATTTTGTCTGTGCTTATGTAATTCGTGTTTTAATGTTTTATCCATGTTTTTGTGTTGTCTGCTTATGATTATAAGCGCATGTTTTTTAATGTTGTCTGTATGCCATGTTTTAATGTTTCGTTCTTGTAACAACAACCTGCCAGGGACTCCAGATGAAAATTAGTCCGTACGGCTAAATCTGGCTCATTTACATTTGGACATTGTCCTTATGTTCATTAATGTGCACTGTCCCTTTTAAATAAATAAACAAACAAACAAACTTCCATCATATCAAACTGAACTACCTTACTGCCTTGTGTTTTTGTTAAAGATTATATGTTTTTTCATCGTGTGGTATCGCAACTGTGAGCAAATGCATGTAATCTCTAAGGTGTGTATGTGTTCCTATATTACCACAAACACACACATACTTAGTGACACATACTTGAAATGTAGAAACCCACGGCTGGAAGGTACACACATTCAAACGTCCAGTTTCAATGATCTGAACTGTTCTCAATTGGATCTACATAATCTTATTTTTGGGTTCTTCTCAGCCAGAGGAAGGGGAAGAGGCAGGTCAAGAAATGAAGATGAGGAGGAGGGAGCCGGGGGAAGGCCATCTGGACCAAGCACTCTGTTTGACTTTCTGGAATCCAAGATGGGAGTTTTCTCCATTGATGGTGGGTGAACTGGGACGTATTCCCTTCTGAATTGCCTTGGTACCTCTCCCGGGTCCATACCCATCATGCTTTATCTTTCAATTTGAGTTATTTTAGGAAGAAACGCATATTTTAATCATTTAAAATATGGGCTTTGTTTGCATGCTTTTTCAAGCCAGTTCTTTGGTAAGAATGTGTGAACTAATAACAGTACATCAACATGAACAGAGTCACGATTGGATTCAGACAGATGGCTCTCTGGATATCGTGAGCTGAAGGGAATTAAGACATTTTCTCTAAACGCCTGAAAGACTAATGCAGCACTGGGCTGTAGTTGAAAGTGGGCATGAACACGCTTTTTATATGCTGTGTATTTGGATATTTGATTGTATTTGACCTAGGATGATATGGCTTGGTGATTCAATTAATGATATTTTGATCATTTATTTCTGTTCCTTTAAAGCCTCAATATTTTTAGTAAAATTTTATCTTTATTGAATAACGATTCATGACACATGCTAATGTTATCTTGCCAGTATTCCTTCTATTATAATCCTCATTAATGTTTTAACATAGCTTTTGATTATACTGTTGTTTGTTTTTTTGCTTTGTTTTTGCAGAGCCAAAGAGTCAGGCACCTCAGAGACATCGTGAGAGTAAAGGGAATTTCTCCAACTCAGACTATTACTCCAAAGACACATCTCAGATCAAGTTGTCCTCGCATAATGACCATAGGCAACAAAGGAATGACAGACCACCTCGCTTCCACAGGGACACTGATTTTCCCAAACCTGGCCAAGAGCCTCTGTCTAACTGTGGAACTTCCCAATCCTCATCAGCTCACGCTCCGCAGTGGAAGGGCCAGGAGAGATGGTCACGAGGCACACCAGACAGACCGCAAAATGACCGGAGAGAGATGCGAGATGAGCAGATTTTTCCTTCATCTTTCACGACTACCTTCCCACGTCCAAAAGAACCTCAGCAGCAGATGGAGTTTAGTGGATCTTTCCACCAACGATCCAGAAATGGAGATGGTGGTGGTAACATGGCAGGACCGTCTCACAGGAGAGGGGGAAAAGACAATGTACCCACATCTAAACTGACTGATTCTGCAGGCAGTGAGCTGGATGTAAAGGGAAATAATAAACATACAGATAGAAATGAAGAACCCAACAACAGCAGGAGGAAAGCGAAGACTGACAGGCAGAACTCGGACCACCTTGACCGGCAAAGGGATGGTGGGCCACCAAACTTTGGTAACTCGAGGGGAAGCTCAGGGACGTCCCAAGAAGTTGGGTTATCACGGGATTGTCGAATCATGACAGGGGATACTTCTCATTTCCAAAATGGAGATATGGAATACAAAAGAACTGGGCCAATCAAGCCAACAAACTCATTGTGTCCCCCATACAAGGAGCCGCCGGGGAAGAAAAACATTTCTAATAACCCAGGACCTAAAAGAAGGTCTGGTCAAGGCAAAGGTCAAGGGCCTCGAGGACCAGAGAAAAGTCATTTTGTGGAACAGGCTTGGAAACCTGGAGACCAGTGCCTGGCACTGTACTGGGAAGATAGCAAGGTATGTCATTCCTAGATTGGTAAGATTGGTAATTGGTAATAGCTGATAATTGCTGAAATATGTTGGAATTCAATTTACTGGATGTCAAGTTAGAGAACGGTCCCTGAAATTATATACATACAAACACAAATGAGCTCACAATGTGTCATGTAAACTGTTTGCAAATGGGACAGCTGACATCCAAATTTGTGACAAAATTAACAATTAAATCTGTTACAGCGAGAATTCACTGACAGACATTGTGACATTCTAGTAATGTCAAATGTGTTTTTGAGCTTGGTTGAGACTGAACATGTGAAGTGACATCCAAAAATATGTTGTTCCATTGTGGCACGTTTTCTCTGTCACAGTGTGTGTTGTAGATTTGTTTGCCATGTGGTAATTAATTGACACAGGTTTGTCTTGTCTTGATGTGGAAATGTTTGTATTAAAATAATTAGATTTCTGTTTGTTTCTGTCTGTGTTTGTGTGTATGTGTGCATGTGAAGTTCTACCATGCCAGAATAGATGCGGTGCATCCGTCAGGCTCCACGGCTGTGGTTGTATTTAGCGATTATGGAAACTGCGAAGAGGTCCTGCTGCATAACATCAAACCTGTTACTGCTGATGCAATGGTAAGGAGAAAGGAAACATATCAATAATAGAATGGATCATTAATCATTATTAAGATCAAAATGTGTTTGTCAATTCTAAGTGGAAGCAATTAATTCAACTGTATTCAAGTGAGTTGATGAAAGGTGATGAAATATGAATGACATCTAATCTGATTACCCACAGTAACATCACAACCATATCAAATGTGCAATGGCAGGAGGAAGATGATGGTTACTACGACAGTTCACTAGAGTTTCGCCGTGGGGGAGATGGACAGCCTAGACGCACGAGACCCACACAGCAGTATTACCAGCCACCCAGGGCACGAGATTGATGTGTCTGCGTTTACACTCGCAGGTAAATAAATATGCAATTGGGTTTTTTCCATTAATAATTGAACATCAAACACCAGTGTATGTACACTGTGTGAACAAGGTACCTATTTTTGTATGGAAAATTTTTATTCACACCCCTCTTTCATTGTGGTGGGAGTCTTGAATTATATAATGTGAAAGTATAGACTGTACAAAAGTCATTTCTAGGCATCTCTGTAACCGTATCTAATAGCCAACCACAGCTAAAAAGACAAACAAACACATGCTGTCATCTTTATGTGGAAATTCATTTTATATAATTATTTAAACTTTCCACTGCTTCTGCTGTTGCAATGGGTTGTATATTTCACAAGGTCTGGAGCAATTGTGATGTTATAAGATGCCCAGATGCCATCAAATTGCAAACATGGTTAATTTTGTCAACTGGATTTTAGCGATTTTCTTTTTCTACATCCATCCGTGTGCTTGTCCCATATTCTTCCTTGACAAAGATTGTCACTTTCTGCAACAATCCAGAGTGCTTCCTGAATTTTTAAGTCCATGTCGTCAGGACATACAAAAACTTTTCAAAGGGCTGGATATCATGCAAAAATAAAATAAAAAACTGACATGAGCACCTGTTGATTTTGTTAAAGACATATCTGCTGTATATATGTTGTGAAGATTTGTTAAATGGATGCATTCAAATAAACTGTTATTATAGTATGTAGCGCATTTCTTGTTTTGATGTGTTTTTATTTTTAATTGTCCAATTCAAATGAATAAACTAATTCAGAGCATAAATGGAAACCTCTCAGGAGACCTTGGTTTTATTTCTAATTTCATGACAGTAGTTGTGATTAACACTAAGTTAATTAGAGTTAATCTTAACTGATGACATGGTAATGTTATAAAATCACCAAATTTGCTATTCTTATATTTCTCCTTGTGGATTAGGTGTAGGCGCTACGAATCCATAGCAAGCAGCTCAAGCTCATTTGTCTTGTTCTGTGAAGCAAATCCAAAGGGTAAGACAATCTCTTCACCCTGTAATAGAGACGGTTACATTTCAGAGATATCATTTTGCACATTACAAAAGAAACTGTACCTAGCTCACCAAGCTCTGCACACACACACACCACTGAGCTGGCTGTTTATGGACTTTTGCTGTTCGAGAGACAGGTTTTACACATCAAGAAATAATGTCCACCTTGGCTCCAATTTCACTCCCACCAACAGTAGGAGACAAATGGACAATGCACAAGGGTTCAGCAGAGAGGTCGCCGCGCTATTCTGTGTCATTGTTCAAAAGGATTTGCTTTATTTTACAACTGAGACGCCAAGCCAGCATAGATGAATAATTAACGGCTAGTAATATGGAAACCTATCCGTTAGGGAGGAACTGGAAGTGAAGCTCTTGAAAGTGTTCCTGGGGACTGACTGTGACACACTGGCCAGATAAAAAGGATTGATTTTCAATCAGATAAACTGGTATTTTCATATATGAATAAAGCCTGTTTCATATTGAATATTTTTCTCTTGGCTCTGTGAAATGTCAGGCAAGTCAAATATTAGGCAGAAGCCCTGTGGTCCCTTAGTCATTACACTCAATCAATATACGGTTATTATGTGTGCAAATATTGATGCTGTGGATTATAGGGTCAGTTGTTTGTCACTATTATTACTTTGACAAGTGTAAATTGATTCTTATTAAATAGAAAAGCCTTATGTAGCTGTTGTATGAAGGAGAGAAACGGAGACACCCGGGTAAAATCAGTAAGACTGAAACAGGGGCCTTGAAACAAGATGTATTTTATTTTTGTAAATTAATAATAAGCATTTTACTATATATTAGCTGTGTTTAAATGCTATTTCAGTGGGTTTCTGAGGAAATCCTATCCAAAACAGATTTCCAGATGTAAGTGGATACTCTTTGTGGGTCGTGATGTTAGTGAAGTCACAACTAACACTCAATGAGTTATCTAATGTTAGTATGACATGCAATTTTGTTCTGTTGTGAAGAAAGTGTTGGACCAAAAAAAAGTGGAAGGCCATGAAGGCTGGCAGGACAGATTAGATTACATCTTGTTTTTCATGTTTATGTAACTGCAACGTTGATGCAATCTTGTTGCTGTGATCAGAGTAGCTTCAATTACTGTCCATGTTTTTCTGTGACAGATAGACCTTCTAAGCTTAGATATGTTCTCAATTATCCAGTATTCTACAAACAATCTTAGATTATGATTGGATTTCACATGAAAGGATTTATAGTGGAAGGTGTATCTTAAGCCAGCAACTCACATTTTAATGTTTGGGCTTTAGTACAGTCAGCTTCAGTTTGGATTTTCATTTATATTGGATTATGGGGGGGTGGCACAATTTCTCAGTGGTTAGCACATCAAAAAGGTCATGGTCCAAAGGGATCTGATGATTGTAAAACTGTGTGAATGTGTGTCCCTCCATATACGTTAGCTGTGTAATAGACATCAGACTGTGTACCCCACAAATACCCAAGGTCATGCACACTAAAGACAACGATCAGCCTGTCATACGGTATTTTAACAATCCCAACACAACAGTGGTTAATGGTAAAATTCTATAATTTTTTTCTTTTTATTTATACTCATTGCCACTCATTGTGATTATTTTTACCAACAAAATGTGAAAGATTTCATCCATACATTCATTTTCCACTAAAATGCTTGTATACATACATACAGAAACAGGCTGTTTTGGAACAACATATCAATTAACACTCACCGGCCACTTTATTTGGTACACCTAGCTTGTATCGGGTAGGACACCCTTTTGCCTTCAGAACTGCTGTAATTCTTAATGGCATACTTTAAACAAGGTGTTGGAAACATTCCTCAGAGACTTTGGTCCATATTGACATGATAGCATCACACAGTTGCTGCATCCATGATGCAGATCTCCCGTTCCATGACATCCCAAAGGTGCCCTATTAGATTGATCTGGTGACTGTGGAGGCCATTGGAGTACAGTGAACTCACTGTCATGTTCAAGAAATCAGCTATCGATGATTTGAACTTTGTAACGTGGTGCATGATCCTGCTGGAAGTAGCAATCAGAAGATAGGTACACTGTGGGCATAAAGGAACAATACTCAGGTAGGCTGTCACATTTTAAACACTACTCGATTGGTACTAAGGGGCACAAAGTGTGCCAAGAAAATATCCCCACATATTACACCACCACCACCAGCCCGTTGAAACAAGGCAGGATGGATCCATGCTTTCATGTCGTTTACACCAAATTCTGACCCTACCATGTCACAGCTGAAGTTGAGACTCATCAGACCAGGCAACAATTTTCCAATCTTCTATTGCCCAACTTTGTGCAAATTGTAGCCTCAGTTTCCTGTTCTTAGCTGACAGAAGTGGCACCCGGTGTGGTGTTCTGCTGCTGTAGCCCATCCACTTGAAGGTTTGACGTATTGTGCTTTCAGAGATATTATTCTGCATACCTTGGTTGTAACGATTATTTGTGTTACTGTTGCCTTTCTGTCATCTCGAATCTGCCCATTCTCCTCTGACATCAACAAGGCATTTTTGGCCACACAACTGCCGCTCACTGGATATTTTCTCTTTTTCGGACCCTTTTCTGTAAACCCTAGAGATGGTTGTGCGTGAAAATCCCAGTAGATCAGCAGTTTCTGAAATACTCAGACCAGCCCGTCTGGCACCAACAACATGCCATGCTCAAAGTCACTTAAATCCCCTTTCTTCCCCATTCTGATGCTCGGTTTGAACTTCAGAAAGTTGTCTTGTCCACGTCTACATGTCTAAATGCATTGAGTTTCTGCCCTGTGATTGGCTGATTAGCTATTTGTGTCAACAAGCAATTGAGCAGGTGTACCTAATAAAGTGACCGTTGAGTGAATGTGTTGTTACTGTAATAATGTTAATGTATTTTATTGTTTATGCTAATGTAAACATGCTCACAATGACAGGTCTACCATGCTGATGTTAAGTGTTGACCATCTTAGTTTAGCATGTTGGCATACTCACATTAGCTAATTAGCACTAAACACAAAGTACAGCTAAGCCTGGGAATGACAATTTGGAAATTTGACCTGATAATAAACCAATGACATCCCTAGAGCCATGCTGTTAAAATGGTTAAAAAGTATTGTTATTGAAGCATTGAAAACAGGCTTGTTCGTTTCTGCATTGCCTTTTCTCGGCCTCTCTCAACCTGCAACCCGATAACCTTCAGCAACAGGAGGAATGCTTTTATCTCCTCGAGAGGGAACAACCTTCTTTCCCACATTAACATCCCCTTTGCTCTCGTTTCCCACCTGCTTGCCTTGCCTCGTATCCCCATTCACAGATGTTAGCCATTATCTTTCAGCTTACCTGACCCCTCACCCTCCATCACTCCACCATGGTACCTTTGTGGCAGTGACATCTGAACCCTGTGATCCTGTTAAATGTGTTCTTTCTTACATAATTTCCTACGTCGGTCTTTACAACCCAATCCTTTCTTCCCTTCTCATAGATGGGCAAAAAGGAGACCTGAAAGGAGGTTACATGAATTTGACTGGCCAGAGAGTGAATTTCCTTGCAAGTATATTTAGTACCCGGTCAAACAGAGACAGGGTGCAGCAGGAATGACATTTAATGTGCTACCTTTTATAAGAAAGGGCTTTTGTACTGAATGAATTGTCTCCGCCTTTTTGTATTGAATGAATCAGCTCCGAAAGCAAAATGACAGGTTAATTCAACGACTAGTATTCCACCTTGAGAGAATGGAAGAACAGCAAGCTTGTTTTTATTTTAAAAGAAAATATGCATTGAGTAAAGACAATATGATCCTTAAAATAGATAGGTCCTCATTTGTACATTTCAGGACTATAATAACATCAGAACATTTCTCCTCAAAAAGTCAGATTTGAAACCAAAACTCTCTTGATTCCTGTGCTTGATTGCCTCCTGCAAAGAAAACACAAAAGGAGGAAATGACAGCCTTCACTATTCCTAAAAAGATTAAAATCCCAGGAAATTGTCAACACAGGATTTTAAAGGGTTTTCAATCTCTAGAATGGTCTGTTTGCAGGGTGATGGGTTATTCCCTTTTTCTCAGTTGTGGAAGGCTTAGGGTTGTTGTTTGCATGTGAATCAAAGAATTTAAAGTCAAACCACCATCTGGTAGACGGCTACACCACTAACATGCAAAACAGGTGCCTCGATGCGTATGCTTTGTTGAGATCTCTAGGCAAATATAATTTGTATTGCAAAACCTAGCACTTACTCATATGGGTGAAATTATAACAGCCATAGTGTGTAGAGAAGACACTTCCAGCTTTTGCATATGATCTACCACCCTGTTGCTTCACACAGGATTTTAGTTCCTTTACTATGACACATGGTTGTTTTATAAAGGTAATAGTTCTACCTATATCTATCTATGTATATATCTATCTATCTATATCTATCTATCTATCTATAGCTATATATATATATATATAAATACACAGTCCCCATATGAGAGAGAGACCATTATTAGTTCACTACAGAAAATATTACCTTTTTTGTGACCAGTCATAGTGCTCATTGATCAACCTGACTCATTCATGCAACAATACTTACAAAAAAGAAGAAAATCTGGCCAAGTCTCAGACTCCAGTCTTATTGCTTGAACTGCACTTGAGAGGCGGCTCAGCACTTAATGAGCAAGATAGGTACTGCTTGTCAGTGGTAATGGCTGTTTTC